GAATTCAAAATCTAAGAGGGAATTATTTAGAAAAAAGGGAGGAGGAATCAAGAGGAAATTGTTTATGAAAGTTTCAATTAGGAGGGACTTAATTAAGGCAATAGGTCTAATTTAAATTCAAATTTGAGAGGAAATTATTTAGGAAAAGGGGGCTAATTTGAGAGGGAATTAGGGGGGGGGGGGCTATTTAAGGATAATAATAGGGCTATTTCAAAAGATGTTTTGGGAGTTTGCTGAATTTAATTTGTTCTTAGGTAATTTGGGCTCTAGCCGGCACTTAAAGATTTGAGAGAGCCGGATCTTCCTCTCCAATTGAAGATCAAATTGTATCTTGCATTTCTCTTTATAGTTCTTTCAATAAAATTTGTTTTGGGGCATTCTTCTTCCCAATTTTTCGTGTTTCATCAACTGATTTTTGTGAAAAGTGCATCCACTTCCTATCACAACCATCCAAGTCCAGTACACATTATAATGCCAGCAGTCCTTCCTCGGCACTATGACACTACTTACAGCTACAAATTTTCCTTCAGTAGCATCAACCAGCCATTCAACTATTTTCTACCTTAAAAATAAGGAAAACACGGTCTAAAATTATCGTTTTCGGCCATTCTAAGAATGGCAACAAGAAAACTTATTACACATGAAGAAAACATAGTGGGAAAAGCCTAGTTTCTTCAAGCAATTTCTAGTTAAACTAAATCCTAATCCAAGAAAAAATCTTATCAATTCCAAAATTTATTCAGCACTTCCAATCTTTTATCATAATATGGTAGAGCTTAAGTCCACTTTTAGGAGAAAAAAATTTTCCATGGTTAAAATTAAGTAAGAAAAATATTCTTGGTAATTCTATGAAGCATGGGGACTACAAATATGAAGAGAAACTACAAACAACTGAATTTCTTAGCATGAAGGAAAAGATGATCATGATGAGGGAACAAATGGCCATATGGCTACCTTTAAAGTTATTGCTACAAAGTCAGCATCTCCTCCAATAGAACCATGGTTAATTATATAATATGTCAAATTTAAAGACAAGATTTGACTTTAAATTTAAAACAAATTTAGTCCTAATCTCTAAATCAAGGCACCTAAAAAGAATTAATAATCCACAAGTTAACAAACATTTACAACAATGTTAATCCTATCCTTAAGGGGTGTTGACCCCTACCTGATGAATGATTAGGATTTATTTTTATGAAATCTTAGCGATAATTTCTTATGATGATGGTGACTATCAACTGCGTTGATGCTGGATTATTATTTCATCCATGATCATGTTTTCACGTAATTCCAAGGACCTAGATATAAAAGCCTAAAAGAATTAGTTTAACATGGTTAGCCTTAAATTGAGTTAGCAGAAACAGCATGGCTAAAACATAAACTGAGTCAGATTGCTATCCCCATTGTGGTTCATCCTTTGTAGCTATCTAATCCGATGGCCTCTAGTTTCTCCTGCTCCCACTTTCAGAGCATCTTGGTTGTTGGTTCACATATTGCCTTTGCTCTTCAGTCATTCATTAAAGTTGTTGGAGAGTTGGAGACTTCAAGTTCAAAATATAACGTTGTTTTTCCTCAATTTCGCTCACAATACTTCAACCAATCTATCATATATTTTTAGGATCCGTTTTTTTGTAAACCATTGCAAGTGGATACTGCTACTCGACTTTCTAGGCCAATTGTGGCTAGGGTTATAATTGAATTGGATGTTTCTATTTCTCTAGAGAAGCAAATTTGGAACGATTCCTCTTCCCATGATTATAGGCAAAAGGTTGAATTTGAAGGTATTTCTACTTATTGTTCTTCATGAAAAAAAATGGAATGATAACGCTGAAAGTTTCATGCCCCGCCTGCATTTGAGGAAGTCATGTCTTATTGATCCTAACATCCTAACAAATAGAGCATAAAAATTGATGTAGTCAAGAATTTACGTCTAATATATTTTTATTTTTCATGATATTGGGCGCTATGTTTTTCATTTTTGTATTGCCCTATGATGGAAAACAACTAATGATCATGCTAGGTTCGGTGCTCTTGGGTTGGTTCATACCATTGACTTTTCATTTGAGTTTGATCTTCCTTTCTTGCTCCTTGTTGGCTGGTTGGGCATTTAGTTATGGGTTGCTTTTTCCTTAGTGGGCTTGGCCCATTTCCCCCCTTATTGATTTGGTTGTTTGGGATTCTTCCCTTCTTCCTTTTGGTTGTTTGGTTCTTCCCCCTTCCTAATTTAGCTGCTTGGGATTCTTCCCCTCTCCCTTTTAGTTGTTTGGTTCTTCACCATTTCTGATTTGGCTTCTTGGTATTCTTCATCTCTCCCTTTTGGTTGTTTGGTTCTTCCCCTTTGCTGATTTGGCCGCTTAGGATTCTTCCCCTCTCCCTCTTTAGTTGTTTGATTTTCCCCTTTTGTTGATTCCTATGATTGATGCTTCAAGTTCTTCTTTGAGAGCTGATTTTGTTTATTTTTTACTGGCTGAAATGTTGGCTCATTTAATTGAATAATTAAATACTCATTTCCCCTCCTATATAATGTGGCTGAAATTCCCCTGTGGAGGACAATTTTTGAAGAAGAAAAACTCAACATTAGGGTTCTTTGTTGTTTGCGAGCTAGTTTTCCCCTATCCCTTAATACTTCCTCTCGGTCTTCTTTCTACTTCTCTCCACGGTTTCCCTTCCATCTATATTTTTCTTCTCTAACATTATGAGTTATGAGGTGGTGTTGTTACCCTGTTCGATTAGTATTTGTCTGAGGAGTGCAGACTTGTGTCAAATCAAAATTTAAATGGTAGATTACTGGTTAGATCTTTCTTTTGAGCACCTTTTCCTAGTTTTATGAATTGCATGTGAGGTGACCAGTCGTGATTATTATGAGGGTTGTTTTGTTTGTGTTTTTTATCTTTCTTTCCCAAGTGATTTTTTTCTAAACAGCTTCTAATGTTTATTTTCTATGAAGTATCTCTTGATTTGTATTTGTTTGTGTTATTGAAAGTAAGTTTTTTAATTGTGTGCCTAAGTGTTCTCCTAAAAGGTTTAGGAGCTTCAGTTGCATCACAAATGATAAAATTCCACCTATGCCCATTCAAACTAAGCACAAAAAACATGAAACCAACCTTGGATCTTAACATGCAATTAAAGCCTTCAAAGCCAATATTTATTGTCTTAAACACCATGGGAAAGTTGATCTACATCCAAGAAAATCGATTAAAATTCTTCAAATGAGTTGGCCCTTATTCCACTTCATATTGTTGTAAATGTTGATGGCCCTAATTTTAATCAGCTTTATGATTCTTTTGGAAGCCATGATGCATAGACACGAACACGGCGACACTGAGACATGTCAATTATTGAAAATATAGAACACAGACACGGATTGGACACGTTATTATAATTTTTATATTTAAAAACGAGTGTATAAAAATTGAATAAGTATAACATTAAAAATAAATTAGAAATAATAATTCAATTAACTAAAATATGTGCTCAAAATAATTAAGATTAAGATGTTGAGAGTTGGGAGTCGATGTCATGTATAAGGCATCAAGAGATAAGATGACAATGCTATCGAGAGTTGCGCATCGATGTTATCCAGTAGGTATCGGGCATTGATGTTATGCAGTAAGTATTGAGCATCGATGTCAAGAGAACGACTGTCGTCGATATTCAGATGGTGTTGGTCATCAATGTTAAGACAATATTGGACAAAGATGAGTTGTCAAGTTGTGGGTGTAGAAATTGCTAACGTCAAGCATCAATGTCAAGACATTGTCAGAATTTGATTTTGAGATGGTTTTGAAATGTCAATGTGTAGCAACATCAAATGTCGATGTTATGATGACATCAAGCATTGTTGTGTAACCAAAGTCACGACCCACCAAAGAGAAATGAAAATGAGAATATTCGATGAATGGGGTATTTGAGTGCGTGCGATTGATTTGGTGTTGTAGATAGAAAATAAAAAATTTAGTTTCTATAATTCAAATAATAAAATTTAAATACAAGAAATTATATATTTTTTTTAAATCATAAAGTATTTAAGACATAGGTGTCCAATTTATATTTAATTTTTTTTTTAATCGGACGCATCTTCGGCATGTCCAACACATGTTAGAGGCATATCGAACACATGTCGTGTCGAATACCTGTAGGACACTGCATGTCTCTTTGAGAACAAGTGTTAGTACATCATAAAAAAAATACTAATGTCACTTACCAAGATTCATAAGGCTGCAAGCAAGGCACTACAAATGACAATTTTTTCTTTAATCTTCTCATTTTTAGGGATACTTTCTCTTATGCCATTATATTAACATTCATTGTCTTTAATTTTTAGATTTACATCTAGTAATTCCTTATAACTGCTTCATGTTAACTGGTTATAAATTTTTTATTTATTAAAAAACCTTAAGAAGACTAAGAAAAGTGTTGGAGAACCTCTTGGATAATTATAATAAGACAAATTAGTACAAGAAAAGGATAATCCGACAAACGACACTTCGAACGCTAAAAAATCAAAGGCAATAGAAAATGAAAAAATGAGCAAGAAGGGAACTAAACAATGGAGTAGAGAAAAAATGGGGCTGTGATGTAAAAAAGGCTGCCGGGTGGGTAAAGCCTACTGAAAGATGCAATAGGAAATGGAAAAAGAAGAAGAAAGCATGAGCAACAGGTGACGTATAGCAAGATGAAGTACGAATATGGTGACAATATACCATATTGATATCATAGGGAGCACCGTGATTAACTTAGGAAAAAAAAGGTGGAGGAATAGAGGAATCCTGCTGGCTCCTACAAAAATGTGAGGTATGGTGAAATGAATGGATACCACCCAAAGTGTGGGGTCTGAGCAGATCCGCTCAGATCAAGAATCTGGCCCATCAAAACAGGCGAAGGGAATGCAAGGAGAGATGCTTATTCTTAAAAGTGCTCTGAATATGCTATGTATATAACTTTAAAATAGTAAAACCAGCTCAAGATGCTGTTTCAAAATATGTCTAGAGAGCAATAACCTGAGCTTTTAACTTGATAAGCAAATTATCAACAGCCGAGTTGGTGTATGATGTCAATAAAATGGATGCCCCTCTGATCAGCAACGCCTTAACAGCATGAACCATTGTGGAAGTTTTCCCCGTTCCAGGCATTCCCAAAATAAGTGTGTAATCTTTTGCAGAAAGTATCTGGAACCAGAAGTCGAGTGAATGAAAGGGAGGGAATTAAACTAATGCTTGGCTCCGTTGCAGAAATTACAACTTCAAAAAAGTTTAAGAAAGAGACGACAAGTTATAGTATTAGATCGTACATAACAGAAAAGGTAACAAGAAATTTTCACCTTTTTGATAGCTCTACGTTGGTCATCATTTATACAATTTTCCAAATGTACGTAAGATACAGATGGATCCTGGCTAAGCAATCCACCACTGTCAAATCTTGGTGCCTGTAAGAAATCAACAAAAAAAAATAAGGAAACTCAAGTTACTCAACTAATATTGTATAACCTTCAAGTTCAAATAAGAATGGAACAATAAAAATATACTAACTTCAAGGTCAACAACCATTTTTCTAAGCCGGGAAATCTGTAAATTCGGAACGAACAACTCCAGAAGGTTGAATCTTTGACATAGAACAAGTATGCAAGAAGTCAAAAAACTGCACTTGGAGAACCTATGTGCAGATATTTGACAAAAATAGGTGGGAATTGGCACACTACCTCATCATTGCATATGAGGTAGAAATCTCATCCTTGTCAATCCTCCACACAGCAAGATTTAGATTAGTTTCTGAAGACTGATGGCTTCCTGGAATCCTTAGGCGCCGAGAAAGAGAGATCTAACAACATAACAGCAAAGCAAACTAAATTTTATAGTTAAACATAGACATGTAGCCGGCAATATTAAAACAATCAGTATGACATGACAAAAAAAGTACCAAGAATTTGATATAAATGAGAAGCCAAAAAGTATTTTGAACGAGATCCTTACAGAGACACGAAATTGATTAATACTGCATATGATTCCATGGGCAATTGCTGGACGTCCATTCACCAAGCTGATTACCTAAACACAAATATACAAAACAAAGTATAAAAGCAAAGCTGTAGAAAGAGCAAAAGGTACTCAATGAGCAGTACTAATGGTTAAGAAATGGCAAAGAGGCTAATAACCATGCAATTGTGGGCTCCGAAAATTCGGCCTCAGCCTCCACTCGCTTTTCTTATTCGGCGAGGGGAGTTTTAACGGATATGTTCCGGGGTAAATTTTGGAAGGCAGATGGGTTTGTAGATAAGACACTACCCAGAGATTTCGCCCTCATTTTGCGAGGACTTTATGATCTGAGTTCTGGTTTCCTACACGCGCAAGCCCCTATAGTTAATTACCCCTCCCGATCACGAGAGACAGGCGACGGGTTGAGTGGAATGGCAGAGGATTCGCGTCTGTGGGAGTGGCGAGAGCTACTGGAGGCGTCGACATAGGGAGAAGGGAGATTGTGTGTAGTCGGAGGAGAGGTCGTGAGAGTGGGGGGAGCTACGGGAGAAAGCTTGCGGCTTGTGGAGGTTGAGAGTTCGTGTCCAGCGAACGGGAGCCTCGATCGCATTTTATAAAGGCGAATGGGATCATTGTGCGAGGAAGCTCGCAGAATTTCCGCAAGATTTACGGGATACGACCGCAAATGGCGCCGAATCGGCAGGAAATCAGCGGGATTTGAGCGGAATTCCTGGAGAAGTTAGGCATGTTTCGTGGATCCAACGGTTATGAGGTTTGTACGCAGGACTTTTTTTTCGCTCTGATTTCTCCTCTCTTTTGTTCCTCTGGATATTATATGAAGGTCAACAGCAATATATCATGATAACGGTTAACATACCAGACAGAAAAGTCAACGGGGGATATTTTGCCATTAATTGTCATTAGCTAATAATATATTTTCTTAATTGAGAATAAACTCTATAATATTTGTATATATTCAATAACACAATTATACCTCTACCATGCAAACTCCAGTTCCTGTAATTGTTCCTGATAGAATTCCTCATGATCCTAGAAAAGGATCCATCCATCTCTCCTCAATAACTCTTAAGAATATCTTATATCTTCCAAACTTCGCTATAAACTTGTGATCTATCTACTGTCATAGCAAAACGCACTAATACTCCATAATCTTTTCTCTGTCTCAATGCGCTTTCAAGATCTCAATAGAAAAATACAATTGGTGGCATTGTTCAATTAGAGATGCATGGTATCTCTTCAATATTATGTCAACTGCTCTATCCCCCAGAATCTCTCCTCATCAATGGACTTATCAACTCAAACATTCTCCTCACTATCTTTTGGGATTTACTCATCTCACCCCTGCCACCCACAATGTTGAATATGAGCCTGTGTGTATTGAAAAGAACACACTTATTCTTTTTCCTATTTCAAAGTCATCATGTAATTAAACTCCCTATGATTATGGGCATTTAAATGTTTAGGATATAAGTCTTACATTTACACATCTAGAGTTTCATTACTTTGTCTATTTCATTGTCGACCGCACTAGAATTATGTGAGTATATTTACTAAAACATAAATCTAAAATTTTGTCTTCAAAAATTTTATCAAGAAATAAATTTTAGATTCTCTAATTCTCTTAAGTTTTACATTCTGAAAATGCCATGAAATAGATACAGCCTACTTTTCATTCATTCTTTGCTAAAAATGATATCATGCATGAGTCATCATACCCAACAAAATGATGTGGTTTAAAATAAATAATGAAATATCCTTGATACCATTCTAACAATCTTCTACTTAATGGGACATAGAGCAAACTTGAATGAGACTAAACCCTTTTCTCTCATTTTTTCTTAGAAACCAATTTTGTTCTTAACCCATCAATTTTTCAGTTGTGTTTGAGTCAACCTTCTTCAGCCTATAAAGGATAAACTCTTTCCTCATACTATCAAGTGTGTATTTAAGGGTTATTCCTAAACTTTTGATGTTATTGTTCATGTGAATCTCTCTATCAATTGATTTATAACTTTGTGGAAATCAGCTTTTAATTAAACACTGCTAGCTGTAATATTGTCTCCTCCGCTACAAAAGTTTAATCCATTATTCCATTGATATCACTTGCCCTACTACCCACTCTGGCTCTGGCTCTGGCTCCACTTTAATTGCATATTGATCAGCTACAACAAACTCCCATTTAGAATGCATAGACACTGACACGGCGACTCGAACACAAGACATCAATTAAGGAACGGGCACGAGTTGGACACATTATTATATTTTTTAATTTATTTAAAATAGTGTATAAAATTGAACAAACAAAATCTTTAAAATATTTGAGAAATAAAAAATAATTTAACTATGATTTGTGCATAAAATAATTAATATTAGGATGTCGAGAGTCAACCATTAATGTCATTTTGGGCATCGAGATAAAAGACGACAATGATCTCGACAGTCAGTCATCGTTGTTGTGTAATGGGCATCAGACATTGATGTCAAGTAGACATCGGTCGTCGATCTCGAGATGACGTCAATCGTTGATCTCGATATAAAGTAGGTTGTCATTGTTGCAATGACATTGGACAAAGTTGAGGTGTCCAGATGGCATATGGGTGTGATTGTGGGTGTAGAAATTGCAAACGTCGAGTGTCAATGTCAACACATTTTCAAACTTCGATTTTGAGATAGTTTTAAAATATTGATGTTATGACAGCATTGGTGTCGATATTGAAATGACTTCAAGCATTGTTGTGAAACCTTAGCTGTAACCTACAAGAGAGAAATGAAAATGAGAATGTTCACAGAATGAGATATTGAATGCAGGCAATTGAATTGGAGCTTTGGAGAGGAAATAAGAATATAGTTTTTATTTTTGTACTAAATAAAAATTTGAGATATAATAAATAATATTTTAATAAATTCATAAAATATTTTAGACACATGTCCAGTTTATTTTTAATATTTTTTTAATTGGACACATCTTCGACTATCCGACACATGTCAGAGGTCTGTCGAACACGTGTCGTGTCCGATACATGTCGGACACTCCATATCTCTTTGAGAAGAAGTGTTGATGCATCATAGACCCCCTTTGACACACCTCCAACCATTTCATCATCTTTGGCAATGCATTCACCTAAAATATTTGATCTCCATCTTTCAATTGTTATTCAGAAAAACTATACAACATTCACCACTTGATACAATCTTTTACTCCACTTGATAGTTAATGACCAAGAATCTTCCTTGTTTCATTGATTTACATTGTCTCTCTTCATTGTTTTTATTTCCAAAACTTATAATGAACGTTTAATGGATATTGAAATAGAGGTACTGCTTGATTGACAAACATGGGATCTAATTTCACTCCCAAATAATGTCAAACTAATTACTTCTCAGTTAGCTTTCACGTTGAAGTTTTCATATGGTATTATATTGACTTCTGCAAAGCATACTTAAGAACAACACAAGTTCATGGCATTGATAAACATGGGATCTAATTTCACTACCAAGGGGCAATTGATCTTCATTCATCTCCTTTCAATCACCATTAATCAAGGTTGGCATCTACTTTACTTCAAATGATTGTGAGCAATGCCTTTCTCCATGGTGATCTCTTTGGAGTTAGTTATAAGGAGCAAGCTCCTGAGTATTTGTTCAAAGAAAGAATAAATTTTTTAAGCTTTGAAAAACAATATATGGCTTTAGAAAAATTATCAGACATGGTTTAATAAATTATGCAAGATCTTTAACAATGCCAATCTATGAAGAGTACAACCAATCAATCTATCTTTATCCAGCTTTCATCCATTGGAAAGTTGATTCTTAAGATATATATTAAGGGCATGCTTCTTACTAAAAACAATACCTCAAGGGTAGAAGAAAGTATGCAATACATTTAGAAGATATTGGTTACTAGAACTTCGAACTTCCCAAGTATTTTCTTGCCATCCATATTACATATAACAAAGATGGTACATGTGTTTCCAAAAGAATGACATGGGGGGCTCTCTGGGAGCAAACAAGAAGACTTTGATACGAATGGTTCACAAGATTCTATTTATGAGGAATGTTTTGAAAACACTCATCATTATCACTTAGTTGTTAAGCTAATATATGGATATCACTTGATCGGATGTTTCCATGATTAATGGTGTGGTAATTTTGTAGGCTACGAAAATTCGCGCCCCGACCTCTTCACGTCTGCTTTCTTTTGTTGACGAGAAGAGTTTTAACGGATTTAAGTTCCCGAGTAAATTTTGAGAAGGCAGATTGGGTTGTAGATAAGACACTGCCCAGAGATTTCACCATCATTTTGCAAGAACTTTGCGATATGAGTTCTAGTTTCCCATAAGCGCAAGCCCCTATGGTTAATTACCTCTCTTGATAACAAGATAGAACTTTCGATTAGGATTAGACGTTACGTATGTCACAATAATTACCTAGCATATAATAGCAATAGTTTTAGGGTTTGAATTTGATATAGGACTTTAGAGTTTATGATTTGAATTTATCACCATATGCTTAAAACAGGTGATGGGGGAATAATGACGGGCCCAATCAAGATCCCATGGTTCCTTCATCCCGGGTTCTCATGGTACATGGTCTACTTAATCAGATGAGATAGTTAACCTAACCTAACTGAAGGAATCTTGTCGACAACAATGGGTTGCTTTGTCGAAAAATATCTTATAGAACTAGGTGAATGTTTGTCTAAAGTGATGAATTTAAGTCAAGAGTTAAAAAAAAAATGTTTTATATCTTATAGAGTGCACCATCTAATTCATTACTCAAGAGACTTTTAACCATTATGAAATAGACGGTCTTCGGCCGTGACTGTAATATAGTGGTCATTTTAAAACAAAATCACCTGGTGAAAGGGCACGTGTCATGTTCTTGTTGGTGGTGAATCAACTGAGAATAAATTGTAATAATGTATTCTACAGGACATCTGCTTCTTGTGAGCTGAAGCTATCCTTCAATTCATCATCATCGTCAAACTGTTGTGAAGTGTGGATAGAATTTTGTTTTAGATTTTCGGTGATTAAATTTGTATTTAAATGTTT